GGCTGCTCAGCTCGGGCTGGACTCGAACCGCTGTTGCTCAGAGCTCAAACTCTTGAGCGAGCTCTTAACCAACTGAGCCACTCGGCCGGCCCTTGATGTCCTTATTTTGAAATGTGAGGGACTGATAGCTGGAGGCCTCACAGGGGCAAGGCCTAGGGAAGAGGTCTCAATTGAGCAGGGTCCACTCCCTTTGCAGGAGCAAAACTTCTATTTTGTCAGGACCGTATAAGGGTTTAGTCTTTGGCGACTGCCTGTCACAGTCTCCTCTCAGGAGCCTGAAGAAAAAATAAGAGGCCACATGGGAAATTTAGAAACAGAGAGCTATGTTTCTGCTGTGACCATGCAGTTTTCCAGATTGGCTCCTCTTGGGTTCCACATGCTAGGAGCCAGCCAGGTGGGCCAGGACCAGAACAAAGAGAGGGAACTGGTCCAAAAATTATTTCATATGGGTCATGGAGGGACCTTGTAAATCTCTGCCCTATGCAGGGTTTGCTTTGTTGGGGCCCTTGGTTCATCTGGCTTCCTGATGCAGCATCTCATGTGCCTGAGAAGCCTCACCACTGTCCTGGCTGTGGGCTCCCATCCTGCCCTGAGCCCTGACCACCGCATCCTTCCCCACCAAATAATAATAATCACAAGTGTTATTTACGGAGCATCTCCTCTTCAGGCATTATAATTCATACTTTATATGCACTATCTAATTCAATCCTCATAAAAACTCTGAGGCAGGAGCTGCTATTTGTTCTATTTTTCAGATGAGAAAGCTGAGGCTCAAAGAGGTGAGGTGGCTCACCCACAGTCTCACAGCCTATCGGTGTTACAGGTGTGTGTTATTGAGTGTCTAAGCCATAGCAGACACTCCAAGTGGCAGGAACCACTAATAAGGCCTTATCATTAATGAAGACCAAGATCTTCTGGATTGGTGCTCACACCATGCCAGTTAGATATTCTGATCACCACGCCACCTGTGGGCTTCCGATGCCTGGAGCCTTGATGTCCTTTCTCTCCCATCAACCTCTAGGGATGACCAATCCTGAGGTGATTCAGAACCTAGAAAGAGGCTACCGCATGGTGCAACCTGATAACTGTCCGGAGGAACTGTACCAACTCATGATGCTGTGCTGGAAGGAGCGCCCAGAGGACCGGCCCACCTTTGACTACCTTCGCAGTGTGCTGGAGGACTTCTTCACTGCCACAGAGGGCCAGTACCAGCCCCAGCCCTGAGGGGCATAGCTGGCTGGGATGTGGAGCCCTGCCCCCCCAACCTGTTTGGGGGAGAAGCAGTTGTTGTGCCATACCCATGTGGCCTATGCACATATGGACTCTGCACGTGAATCCTATCCACGTGTGACACATACATTTGTCGTGTCTTAAACACGGGTTCTTTAGTTGTGTGGGCTCTGCACATGTGTCTTGTATATGTGCGGCCTGTGCATATATATGTCTTGGACACCTGTCCAAGCTATCCCTTTCTGGGCCCTCCTACTTCCTGAGACCACCAAAGGAGAGAGGCCTGTGATTAACACCAGCTTCTGCCCAACCCCTTTTCCTTCCTCCTGGTCATGAAGAATCTCCTTGAGGGAGAGACCTTTCTAATACCTCTGTGTGCTCCTCATTGGTGCCTGGCACACATCAGGAGCTCAATAAATGTCTGTTTGTTGATGAAGGTTGTACATCTCTCTGCTCCCCACTCCTATCTCTTCTTCCTTGGGAGGGGAGAGTCGGGATTCAGAAGATGGTAACCCTGAATTGCGATGAAACATGGGATGAGAGAATGTCTGAACTTTTTCCAGCACTGCTGATGCTGGGAGCCAAGAGGAGATCCCTACACTTTGCTGTATGGGCTCTTTGAAACCCTTTAAATCTGTACCTCAAAGCATTCAGGGAAAATCCTACCTAGAACCTCCTAGAATGTGTCCCAGGACCCTNGTAAACAATAGCTCGACCTAGAGCTGGGCTGCCATGAGCTGCCACCGGAAAGGGCGTAGGCTGCAGTGGGGTGGCACTGGGCTGCCTTAAGCTACCCTGAGTCACTGGCAGCCAGCGTGAGCAGCCGTGAGCCACCGTGAGCGGCTGTCCAATGGCGGGTGAGCAACTGCCTCACCTGGGAAGAACGCAATGATAATACCAACATGGGACAGTGAAGTGATGTCCTCCACAACTAGACGGAAGAACAAAAGGACAGTAAATGGTCTGTTCCCCTTCCCCAACTCCCCAACGCTGTTCCCCTCCCCCAATTCCCCTATAAAATCTTAAAAAAAAAAAAAAGAAGGTGGGAGAGGCAGTGGGGCTGACACATAAATCAGTCTAATCATGGCACTCAGTGCCTAAGTTGATGATTGTGGTCTAAGTAGAGTGTTGTAGAAGCAAAGAGTATTGGGAAGGCTTTACAGAGTAGATGATATTTGCGTTGAGTCTTGAAGGTCAAGTTCAATAGATGGTCAAAAAGAGAGCATTCCAAGGCAGGGGAACCACATGTGCAAAGAGTAAGAAAATAATGTGGAGTGTTTGGGAGAAACAAGAGTAGCTCAGAACACCAGCTGCGTGAGTGTGTGGGTGGGGGTGTTTGTGTGTGTGTCTGTGAGTCTGTGTGTGTGTGTGTGTGTGTGTGTGTGTGTGTAGCAAAATAGACTGAGGAGGTAGATTTGATCTTGATATTAAAGAATCTTGAATAATGGTAAATTAAACTTTATATGAGGACTAGTGCTTTCTAGGCAGTTCTGAGGAGCAACTCCAGGGAACAAGTCTCAGGGACTCCTAGGGGTTTCAGAGTGAGGCCCCCACTCTGCTTCAGGCAGAACAGCTCCACTTTTACCTGTTTTATGTAGGGGGTTCTGCTTGATTTCATCTGACAAAAAGTTTCCACTGCTAAAGCAAGCAAACAAAAAAGTTATGGCCAATAGGGCAGCTGAAGGGTTTTCTGCTGGGGAAAAGCAGAGTGAACCCTCTGAAGGAGACTTCGTGTGTGGGAGGTGGGGGTGGGGAGAGCAGAGGACCGATAGCTGACATTTGGGAGCAGGAGTCTCTTATTTTGCTTCTTTGGCTGGAGGGGGGAATTGTAATTAGGAGGTGGGGCACACACCACTCTGGTAGGGGCAGATCAAAACTTAAGTGTGTGTGATCTCTAGTAGGTAGTCCCCCCACATGGGGGATGGGCAAAGAGAGAGTGTGGGGGAGAGGCAGGAAGCGGGCAACTAGACTAACAAAGGTGCCTGTGGCGGTTTGCCCATCCCAGGTGGGAGGGCGGAGTCTAGGGCTCAGCCCTGGCCTTGGGTGACTTTACTTGTGGCCTGGGGGCTTGGAGAGAGCGCCAATCAAGAGTTAGGGCCCCATTTCAGCTATTCCATGGCTGGTGAATGGGGGCTGCAGACAATGTCTGGTACTTCTGGAAGTTCCCAGGGCTAGGCCCTAGCATGTCTGATGTTGGGGGAGATTTTTGGGGACCCCCTTCAGCTCCCTCTCCATTCCCCCAGGGACCATGGGCTGTTGCAGCTCAAACCCTGAAGATGACTGGATGGAAAACATCGATGTATGTGAGAACTGCCATTACCCCATAGTCCCACTGGATGGCAAAGCCACGGTAAGAGGCAAGACAGGGGGTTTGGTGAGGGAGCCAGGTGGAGTGCACAACCCAGAAGAACGGACCACCACTATAAATCCTTGAAATAACAGAGTGGCCCTCTACCCTGCAATACAGCAAGGAAAAGAGGCCCAGAGAGGGGAATGGGCTCTCCTAAAGTAACACAGCAAATAGTTGGCAAATTCAGGGATAAGACTCAGCTACACTGGAGAAGTGAAGAAGAGCAGAGCAGTGGGGCTGGGAGCCAGGGTATGGCACAGCCTTTTGTTCTCTGACCTCACTCTCTCCCCCCACCCAACAGCTGCCTATTCGGAATGGCTCTGAGGTGCGGGATCCACTGGTCACCTACGAGGGCTCCAACCCCCCGGCTTCCCCACTGCAAGGTGACCTCAACCAGCAGGGCCTGGAAGAGAAGGCCTGTGGATCCTTGGCTGTCTATCTCCATCTCCTCCCCACCTATCCTCTACCCTGTCCTGCCTCTCTTGCCTCCACTCTTGTCCTCTGCCCGGTAACTCCTGAACTCCATGTTCCCTGGCTATTCCAGGCTAGTTCTCCCTGACAACCCCTGTCTTTACAGACAACCTGGTTATCGCCCTGCACAGCTATGAGCCCTCTCACGACGGAGACCTGGGCTTTGAGAAGGGTGAACAGCTCCGTATTCTGGAACAGTGAGTGCCCCCTCCACACCACTCATCCTTGCCCTGTGGTAATGTGAGGGAGCCTCCTAATCGGTACTGCAACCCTCCTTTGGCTCCTGTCTTGCAGTGGATGACTTTGAGACAAAATGGGAAGCGCCAGAGTGCTGAGCTGGAGGGTGGGGTGGCATGGCATAACTGGAACTCTAAGGGAG